AGTAGAAAAAAGAGAGTCTAAAGATGCAAAGATATTTAGAACTCTAAAAAAGCTTAACGGGCTTGAAATTTGGATGTCATGTCATTTAACGTTAAGTGGTTGCTCCGTGAATCCTATGAACACACAGTAAGAATCTTTGTAAATTATCTATATTTAAATAAAAAGACCTGATTTTTTACATACTAATAAACAAAAGATTAGAATTTAATCAGACATGCATCGATCACACTTCACAATTCACAATAATTTTTCCGTAAATCATTGGGTCCGCAAACTTTTTTAACAACCCTCGTATACTGTTCATTGCCTCAGGAATATGAGTCAAGTAACTGAGCTTCCTTAGGCCTAGGAATTCATCCAATCACTCCAGGTAGTTCTCTTTTACTTCATATATTGATTTTTAGTAATACATCTTGTGTAAAAAAGCTGGATTCTGTAAATTCTATAATTTATTTTCAATCGAAAATTTGTGGGATTAACAAGGCTGTATGGTTTGAAAGTTTAGAATGCTACAGGTGCTCTTGACCAACTTAGGGCTACTCTGTCCGAGAAGTTGAATAATATCCTTATGAGAAAGACAAATGCTCTGATGAATTTCAGGCAGAGGAGAATCAACCAATGGAAATCTTTATTTTCACTTGCGGGAAGAGGTTCCATCATATGAATTACAATAACTCATGCATTATCGGTCAAAATCACGTAAGATGTTATTAACAATACTGAAAAGTCTGTATGGTTATGATTTGCAAATAGCCCATCAAAGAATAATTTGAATAAATATTCCAGAATTTAACATTCAGATTAGGACTTTGTTGGTCAATGAAAATACATCAGCTTATTTTTGGTATGCATGGTGACAATGCACTTTGAGTGGTATTGCTGATTAATACAGGTACATAATGGATGTGTCTTTTACACATCAAGTTTTACAATGGGAAATGTTTATTGAAGGTTGTTTATTGAAGGTTGTCTGATTCTTCACCATCAGAAATCAAAATTTTTATTAGGTTTTTCATTTTACTCTTCCAAAATTAACCAGGAACATTTATTTGTCACGAGCAAGTGACAAATTAACTGCGAAATGAATGGTGCTATTTTAATTGTCAAATCTTAATTTTACCCTTAATTTCGCTGTAGCATATCAAAATTGATAATCTAAATTTGTTATTATGAATTAAATTTCAATTGTGGACGTACGTTGTTTGCCTTCTTTAACCACTTTTCCTAGGAATTAGATTATCGAATTAGAACAGCCCTCCCTACTTTTTTAAAAAGTGATGTCAGTCTGTCTGTATCAATCAGAAAAAAAAATCATTAGTTTTGGTCCTGCGTGCAGGTTTGAGCCAAAATGGTCTACAAAATCATGATATTCATGGTCTTTATGGCTCGTACATATATAAATGAATCTTCATTCTATATATAAAATTTTGGTAGCTCAAAGATTTAAGGTAGGAACAGATATAGATGTCGGTCAAATTTTTCCTCAAATTCAATTTTTCTGAAACTTTGATATTTTATTCTTGGATACAGAATCTCTCTTTATATATGATATGAAAGAAATTCAACCGCACATTTTTTGCCCACATAGTCTGAAATATGGCATTTCAGACCCCTGTAAGAAGTTTGGGAAATCAGACATTCGACTTGAGAATGAGCCTTATTTTAGAATTTTCTATTGATCTATTGCAAATTTGTGTAATACTTTTAATAAAGATAACCTTTTTGTTACTTTAAATCAGTAAGTCACATTGATACTGGAAAATTTGGGTAAAATATTAAGTAAAAAAGAACATACATTGTGTTAGAAACTGAAAATTCACATGTAAATATGCGACAGTTTAAGTTTTCTTAGAGAAAATGTATAATTCAATTTATACAAAAAATTAAAAGAATGATTCAAATGGGTCCTAGAATAAAATGTGTAAAAATAAAGAAAATTAAACCGGTGGTTTCAGATTATTTTGGTGATTTAAAAAAAATTAAATGGCAAAAAACTAAAAGATTCAGTAGATGACGTCACGATTCCGACCTTTGACCTCTTGGTATGACCTTGACCTTTGTAGTACATAAAGAATAGAGACTTCGTATATACGTGTCCAAATATTACCCTCTACTATTTATGGAATAAAAGTTGCACTGCATTATATTAACAGACTGTTACATGCTTGTTTATTGCACTTAGATAGCGTAAACACATTCCAAAATGTATAAGCTCCCAAATGACCAATATATAAATTTCTCTGATTTTTTCACAAAATATAACGCAAGTCTGCCAAAACTTATTATTTTTCTTTCAGGGATCATTCATTGTTGTCAGTATAGTAATGTTACTCTTTTTTCCTCCAGTACTTTTTTAAGAAATGGGTTAAAATATAATCCATGGGTGTTTTGTCCTACCTTAAACAGATTTATTTTCTGAAAAATTATTATGTTTTGTTCTTAGACAGGGAATAATGTAAGTTCTTATAGCTTTTTTAAATACATAATTAATATAAATTTAAATAAAAAATAACCAAACAATTTTTATTCACAGCATCCTTGGGAGCTATCATGTATTTTAAGACACTGTATTGGAATGATTGCACAGGTTCAAGATACTGTAATGCGCTCAGGTAGAACATACGCGATATATTCACTATATATACAATGCACCATTGACCTTTCGTTCAAAATTTGACCTAAATTTGTAAGCATAAATTTTTTTAATGATAAATTAATTCGCCAATGAGTTTGAATAATTAACATCATTCTATACGCACATGTACATATTTACATAACAATTTCATCCTCATAAAAGTATATATTTAATTTTAATTTTCAACTCCATGAATCTTTAGCCCAGTCATCTCAATCAAAAAGTTTTATTAAAAATATCTGAGCATATGAAATGAAAGTGTTTATTTCAAATTATCAAAGAAAACAATGAGTCTTGAAGTAATACACACAAATGTTTATATAAATTTTTTATAACCATTTATTAGAAAGGAGAAAGACATTTCAATAGCATTATGATTATCTAAGTTAACTGTATTTTCAAGCCCTTTTCTATTAACGCATTCAAATTTTGACTTTTTAAAACTATTTTAAATATATTGAAAATTTTTCAACATAACTAGTATTACAACTGAAAGAATAACCTTGATAATATTCACAAACATTAAGTCATCATTAATATTCTAACAAATCTTGGGAATATTCACAGATACATGCATCATTATAAATCTAATAAGGAAATATTTTACATTACAATATTGAAAAACGATAAAATCCTTAAGGATATGTTGTGCTCAGGTCTCTCCATAAAAAATGAATTCAAAGATAAACAAGTGTAAGATTGCTTTTAATATAATTTACGAACTGGTTAAATACAAGCAAATTAATTTTCGCTGCTAAACAGTGCTGTACTTTTATTGCAAGCTAGATACATGTTCAGTTCACTTTGTTCGCCTTAACCAAAACATTGGGAAGTTTAAAACATATATACATTCAAAAACCTTTTCACAGGTGCAAAAACTACCGGTATTTATATACAATACAAAATATGGTACATATGTACACTATACATTGTTTGCCGACTTATATTATTACTTATATTATATTCCGTATATTAATTCCAAACTCCAATTTATTATGTCGTCCCGAACGAAGTCGGGGACGACATATTGCGATTATACGCATGTTTTTGTTGTTGTCTAGACGTTTTCTCGGAGATGGCTTGGACAATCTTCCTGAAACTTTCCTTAAAGGGGGATCACTGGTGGTAGATTTGCCATGTGGTCATTCAGGTTCAAAATGGCTACCGTTGCCACGGAAACCTGCAAAAAGCGACGAATTTTGTTCGCGAGTGTTCTCTCTGGTCCCCTGAACATTTTTCATGAACTTAACTGATTTATTGATAAGTATCTGTCATTGTGCGTGTTGCCTTTAAAAATTGCAAATTGTCAATAGTTTCCATGGAAATAGGGGAAACGTAAAAATTTTTAACTTTGATTCTAAATCAAAGTACTGAAAGTACTGATAGGAATTGATGGCTTTTCCAAGCTTAGCTAATGGGTATTGTTTAACTGACGAGAAAAAATGAAAGGTTTGTCCAGTTCGGTGCGACATAAGCTATTGCTTGCAATAGCAGATTTTCTATTATTATTTGGTTATTGTTTTTTGTTATTGCTAAAACGCAACAGAGAATTGAATCATTTACATAGCATTGACTGAAAAGATTATGAAATTCTTTAACAATTCATAAGGCCTGCATACGTAGTATCCTTTCGAAAAGCCCGCGCTTTTGTAAGTGATTCGCGAAGATATGCATTAAATATCGTGGATACATAAATTGCTCTATCGTTATTATACCCTGTTTAAATATGTGTCTTATTCGTCTTTCAATTTATTCTAAAAAAAATTGAAATATTTCCAAATACTGAGATGTTAAAAAATATTGTTTAAGTATCTCTCTAAATGTGATTACTTTTTTATTGGAAGCATCGATCTGATTTGACGCTGTTTGGTTTCTTATTTCCTTTTCTCTGTGGAGCTATTTACAATAAGAAAGGCGATCATAACGTCTTCAGCCAGGACTTTGCTTAGCCGGCTTAAAATTCAAAAACCTATGTCTGTCATACTAGATTATTTTTATGATATGTTAGCCCCACGGGGAACCGGGTTAGAATAGGTCCTCAGTACCCTCATGCTTCGCGTAAAAGGCGACTAAATGGGGCGGTCCTTCGGATGAGACCGTATAAACCAAGGCCCCGTGTCACAGCAGGTGTGGCACGATAAAGATCCCTCCCTGCTCAACGACCGTAAGTGCCGAGCATAGGCCTAAATTTAAAGCCCTTCACCGGCAATGGTGACGTCTCCATATCAGTGAAATATTCTAGAGAGGGACGTTAAACAGTATACAATCAATCATCATGATATATTATTTCTTCAGTGAGTTTCAGAATCTGCTTATTTTTCTTTTCAGCTGTCGAATACTAGGATAAAAGTCGACTGTAGTAGCTTTATTTGGCAATGCGAGAAGAAATGGTGACAGGTTTGTGTCCAAACAGCACCGCTCCTTTCAGGACTGCAAGCCCTGGTTCGGGGGGAATGATAACTGTCATATCAGGAAAAGATTTCTTGATCATGTTCTGTAGAATTGGTGACTCAGAAAAACCTCCCACCATTAAAATATTCTTGGTTCCTGAGATCTCTGGTTTCTTTAGTAGTTCTGTAACATGATCCACAATTTGATCCAATGCCACTTCAAAAAAGCTCATCATCACTTCGGTTGTTATTTTGCATTTGTCCGACACAAATGTTATTTTTTCTGAAAACTCGGTATCCTTTATTTTCTCCTTAACATGATACCCTGTTTCCTCTTCGAACATTTCCCTCAGAGAAATTGGAATTTTAAAAATGACCCTGACCCTTTTGTCATTAATGTCACGCTTCTTGTTTTCGAATTCTCTATATATGTCCACATAATCACCTGGATGTGAGCGGGCAAACTCAGCGATGACAGGGGCCCCAAACATTTTGATCAGCATCTGTTTGAAGGCCTCATCTACCTGATTCCCTCCCAACGCTCCTCCACTAGCTCTGTACAGCTCCTTTAGGCTGAGATCAGGTTGTACTTCATAAACGGTGATATCTACTCTTTCTCCTTTAAAATACAGAAGTGTTTTAAAAACTCCTAAATATATCTCTTAAAAATTTTGATAAGAAGTTTAAATACCCAATTTAATGCTAACGCCCCCAAAATCTACCTAATTCAAGATCAATAATATACCACCTGTCAATCATTATAAAATAGTAGCTTCTGATTCGATTGACAGGCCAGCCACCTACGCTACCTGATAATCCGAGTTTGCATTTTTTTTAAAACAATTACCTTGGCCATGCTTCAAGCGCTTTCATGTACCGTCTAAAAGGAGCTTTGTATATATTGTGGTAAAAAGTAAAATCATATAGCTATTATGCTAGTGGGCAATTTTATTTTTAAAAATGATCTTGTCTTCATGAATTCTCCACTGCTGTTTGTTACTTGTAAGCGATATGGCGTCCAAGATATTAATACTGTAGAATTTTCGAAGAAAAACTAGTGGTTTTTCAGCCCTCTCTCTTCTTCAAAAAGTGAAAAAGTTTTTGTAGCAGCTAAGAATGATAATTTTCTCCGAATTCTCTCATTCAATCTGTGCATGGAATTTCAGAATGGCCGTAATGCCGCATGTTGACCTGCAGTTCGGTACATGTACACAAGAAATTAACATGATCAATTCAGCGTAATTGGAAGACCCCTCCAATAATTAAAGTTATAACGTAATACAGAAAAGAATAAAGGAAATATTTTTAATTAGCACTAACGGCATAAATTACGAGATTCCTTTTTTACATTTTTATACCCCCCGCAAACGAATCAATTTGTCCGTCCGGTCCGTCTAGCTGTCCGTCTGTTTTTACAAAAGTGTCCGGTCCATATCTTTCTTACGGAGGGACATTATAAGCTACTACTCCACACAAAGATTGCATATGACCTAAGGATGTGTCATGACCTAGACGCATGGTCATTTGGGAAGTTCAAGGTCACTGGAAGAAAAATTACATAATTCGTATCCGGTCCATATCTTTTTTATGGATAAACTTGGTAGGTTCTCATTTCAGAAAAAGATTGCCTATGACCAAAGTGTGTGTAATGACCTTGACACATGGTCATTTGGGAAGTTGAAGAAAAATATCATAATTCGTGTCCGGTACATATCCTTCTTAAGGATAAACTTGGTAGGTTCCTTTCTCATCTCACAAAAACCTTGCCCATGACCCAAGGGTGTGTCATGACCTTGACCCAAGGTCATTTGGGGAAGTTCAAGGTCACTGGAAGAAAAATTTCACTATTCATGTTTGATAAATATATATATATATATATATATATATATATATATATATATATATAGGTAAAATTAAAATAAAAAATGCAACACAGATTAAAACGTTAGCGCTTTCATTACATCTTCAGACGTTTTACAAATGCATACTTTATCCTGACTGCAATGTCTTACAAAACTATTAATACTTTAAAAATCATTATCTATAATTGAATCTGACAACAAGCAATTAAATGCTTGCAGTTTGCTCACACCTTTGAAACCAAATCCGACATGTGTTTATACTCTTAGCCGGAGAACATTGAAAGGTTACACTCTGTGTGAAAGTTTTGTCAGAAATCAAATTAAATCAAACTGTTAAGACTGGGATTAAATTTTTGAATGAAATATTTCTCTTTTTCTCTTCTTTCAGTTATATTGTCTTGAAAAAGTTTATAAAAAGGGAACACTTTAAATTTTCCTTGTCCGCATCTATCAATGTGTTCGCTGAGTTTGATCTTACGGTACTCAGGAACTTGAATATGCTGTTTATGCACGCGAATTCTGGCTCTCAATGTGGTCCCCGTTTCACCGATGTAGAATTGGTTGCATCCTCCGCAAGTAATAACATATATAAAATTTTTGGACTCACATGTCATGTCTGAATTAATAAAGAAATCTTTTCCTTTGAAATTAAATGACGTTCCTTCTCTTAAAACAGAACATGTGCCATATCGCGGATCTTTACACTTTGTCACGGATTTTGTAGATTTCGTTATTTTGGAAGGACAGAGTATTCTTCTGAGGTTTTTGGGCTGCCTTTTGCTGTTTATAAACTTGAATTTTGAAAGAACATTTGACATTTC